TCTTCAATTTTATAAATGATAACGTTAAGATTCTTTTATTTTTTTTTATATTTTTTATCCAAATCGTAAATATCTTTTTAATACGCACATTGTTTAAATGAAGCTAAATTTTTATAAGCATAATTTCTATTTTTAAACACTTGAAAAAAAAGTTATTCTTTTGCAAAGCATTAATAGAAATATATATATACACATGTATTGGGAACTTGGCCATAGTTTCAATGCACGTTTTTTTTTTCAGAAAATAAGAATCAAATGTTACAATCTAATTTCTCAAAGACAATGTATTTTATGGGTTTTTGTGTGGGGATACATTTATTGAAAATTTTAAACCATCAATATCGAGTTTCACCGAATGGAAATATAGTTTCAACACGAACAAAAAAAAATATAAAACTTTAGTTCTTTCGCTAGGAAAATAACTTTTTTAGAAAAAAAAAATTATGAAATTACATTTGCTTCATAGACAATCAAAATCAGTAGGAAGAGATTCTTGTAATAATTTTAAAGATGGTGACGTCTCTCCTCTATTCGTTAACATAAGTACAGCCTATACAGTATTTACCAATGTAACAATCAATTGTTACTCCAACAGAAGTTCACGTTACATCATTCTAACTCCATGGTTTCAAAAGTTATAAAATAACCGCACGGCAATACACGGTTCACTACGTTCTACATTTATTAGCACTTGCATTTTCGCAAGAAGACATTTTAGTGTACTTTAAGTGTTTTAAATTACCGCTTAACCATAAAATGCATTCTTCACGGGAAATAAAATACTTCTTGATTCGGCCAATATCACAAGAAATGCAACGTAACGCGTACAATCATGTAATAAGACAGCGCTACCTGTAGAACCACTGACGATTATTTTCACAATTAACGAGCATTATATTTGTCAAAAAATCTGGAATTCGATTAGGTTTTATCCAGGCTTGGGAAGCAATATTCTCGCAAATCGCTGTTCGATGCAAACCTGATAGTTTTTGTCGCTTTGAAGTGTACTGTTTTTTGTCAGGATTCTTCGATTTTTGATTTACGAGAACCCGTTCACTTCCCAACTCGATAATCCTTTTTACGCCATGTAATAATTCAAAAAAGGAATTTCTGAATGGAAAATTGGTCTTGATTGGTTGTGTTTTCAACATTGAGACATTTACAAACGAAAGAGAAATGTCATTTTAACAAAATAATTAGCGTATCATTAAGACTGTTGATTTATGAACATTCGCACGCTAAATATCTTGTTTAAAACATCACTTTGACACAGAACGTCATTTATCTCATATCTCGTTATAGTATTATCGCAAAACAACGTTTCATTTGCCGGAAAATAAATAGCCGTCATGAAGGAACAGGAAGAGAGATTCTAATCGCTGGACAGGCAGTGAACGCAGTCCGGACCTTGCTAATCCGACAAACTTCTCCGATCTCTGTTCCCGGCTTTTTTGAGATCTTCGCAATTTATCAAACCTTTTTTGCAGTAATTGCAACTTTTTTGAAGAATATCTTTAGACGTCATGTCCATAGCAACTCATTACCTTCTTTCACATTATATCGAGTTATTGATTACCCATAAGTCAGTTTTACACCACAGAGCGTCAAAAGTATCTTGGAAGTTAGACTTTTGAATAGATTTGAAACATTTAAATGTTAAAATCAATACTCTTTCTCATTTAATGTAAAACTATATATTAGTATACTCTCTCCCTCCTTTCTCCAAATAGATCTTTACAATAAACACTATAGTGCTATTCCTGGACTACTCTATTTTTGTGGGACTAAGCCAAGATTCAGGATAGTGATCTTTAATATTCTATGCAAAATCAACGAAAAAGAAATGTTTAACTGTCATTATAATCTTGCATTAAAATAATCAAATAGGTTAAAATAATTTATATGTACATTGTATAATAAGTATTATCGTTGGTAGCATTATGATATCATATTCTTAGACGGGTGTCAAAGAATGCGAAATAACATGAGGGTCTCGTTGTTTTAATCAAATGAATTTTATGCATAGCGGATTACAGAAGACTGAATAGCCTAAGTGCTTTGCAATATCGGCATCTTATAAAAACCAGATTGACCTTATGGTCTTTATGTAAATAAGACAAAACCAGTGTCTTAAGAATTCACACAATTACAATTTGGTTTCCAGAGACAGTAGAAAGTATATAATTTACACAAAATTCCAGCATTATAATACTCAATGAGGGAAATTACATCGTTGTAAATCTCACTTAAACATTACAGTCACATCACAATTATTTTGCCGCCAAATGTGTGGAATTTGAATTGTAAATGAGTCAAAATCATACGTTTCTTAACAGTTTGGCGCCGACCGCTACATTGTCTTTGCATTTACGCTTCGGTTCATAAATAACAATAACGTTAATTTTGGTCCGTTCCTCGAATCAATCTCGGGATTGGTGCTGCAAGATTTCCAATTCTAGTATGATAAAGAAACAGTTACAGACAAATACCTCCTCTGGAACCGAGTGATGGATGAAATTTTTGCTTTCTCCTAACAGGGCCCTGTCCCGTAAATAGAAAATTTCTGATACTTCCTCTAACTTTATTGTTCTTTTGGAGGCGATAGGAAATAAAAGGTCAATAAACATCTTACTTAACCTTTGCTTTTCTTTACTTTTAGTCAAGGGTAGGGTAAAAACAACCTGCAAGCCTTTTTTGTAAACTAGATTTTTCTGAGAATTTTTTGTGCATGAACTGGGGTTATAAGGAAAGAGTCAGGTTTTCAAAAGGAAAACAGAAACATCTGTACATGTACTTATTCGATTTTTTTTATTTAACAAAGATTAAAACATTATCATGCACATGTACAAGTATTACTGCATTGATGGCTTTGGAATTGTAAATGAAATATACATGTTCATACATCTATAAAACATGTAGCTAACAATGTTTTGTAATTAAAATATACATATATATTTATATTGTAAGAATTGAAGAAAATAACCTGCTCGGTTTACTTGCAAGAAAATTAAAAACAATAATCAATTAACAAGTATTTTCAACAAAAATATGAAAAGGAAAGATATAAAAAGTAAGAAACTATAAATTTAAAAATTAATAAAACGTCGAAAATCTTCAATTTGAATGCTTATTAAAAATCTTTGAAGATATTTTGTGTTGCTTGTTCTCCTTATATACTTACGTTGGTTTCCAGAATATTGCTGTTGCTTTCGCTGACTTGTTTGACGAATTGGGGTCTTGATTTCTAGAGACTGTCGGCGTTGGACTGGAAACAACACTTACTCGCTCCATGGAACACCGATCCCGATGATTTAATAACCATTCAAAAATCGTAATCAAGGAGCTTCACACATCGTCGACACCGCAGTTCTCATCTAGATCACAGTGGACATTTATACTTCGTACTGTATGGTAGAATTGTAGGATGTAGGATTGTAGGCTGATTTGCATGTTCTTTCTCTGTAGAGTGTTTTATAATATGTACACTGTGATGACCAAATTTCCTTTTACAATTCTATTTTTGTTAAAATTTAAGTTAGAAGAATATACTTGTTTTACAAAGCTCAATCTATATTGGCAATGCTTTCTTTCATATACATATACCATTTTCGAATTGCAGTTTTCAAATAAATCATACTTTATGACACTTTTTTTCTATTTTGTAGCAAGTTCGTTCATCAAAATAATTGAAAATAGTATGCAGAAGAATAAATAATTATAAATCGTTTTTTTTTAATAATTTTGTCCCAACGTTAATTGTACTATTATAAAATTCTTTATTACATATAAATCTTGATTAAAAATTTAAAATGTGGTAGCCCTTATCATAGTGTTCAAAATTAACCCCATAGTCTCTGTACACCCGAGGCTTGGTGTTCATAACCATAATTATTTCAAATAGTAACTATAAAATTCAAGATTTTGATATTTTTGTTTTAAATTAACATCTACATCAAATCTAAAAGCAAAAAACGAAACACAAACTTATTGTAATATTTACATAGATCTGTACCTCTCTTAACGTTCAGCAATCGACACTTTGATGGGTTTGTTTATTGTGTAGGGAGATATTGTTTCTGATTTATGAGGTAACAATTTTCTTACAAACATATGAAATGAATTATTTCAAGAATTTTATTTTCGAAAAAAATTGAGAAAGATCTCGTGAGAATATTACCAATATTTTACTATTTTGAGATCATTAAACTTTTGCTTCATTCCCATGCTACATTAGAAGAACGCAATCCTTAAAGATAGAATCATAGTAAATATTTTATTTTACTTTTAAATGTAAGCATCAAAAACTTTTTGAGTCTATTTGCATTATGTATTATGATATATTTTATTTTACTTACAATACTAATATATGTAATTCGTTTAATAAAACTTAGAGAATCTATATCAAGTTAATTGATAAAACAATTTTCTTCCTTTTTTTTTTTGCAGTACATGCATGTAAGTTTATTGAAATCAGTACCTGTAAAATTTTATGCACACATTTTATCAACCTGTTTTTATTGTTCCATAATATTTGAAAACTCCAGAAAATCTTTAATCAAATGTTACAATATTTGACGAAGATGAAAGTCCTTTTCGGATTTTTCGTTAAAGACCGCTTGTCCAAATAATAATAATAATTTCTATTAAACTGTGTTGTTCTCGTTCTTCGTAAGAAATATACAGTCATTTATATTAATCCAGTCAATATTTTAAAAAAAAAAACACGAAAATACGCTTCCTGAAGACCAGGTTCAACCTCCGTAAGACAAAACAAATATGGTGTCACGGGGAGACTTTTTTCTGCGAGCCTGTCATCCTGGCTGTCCAGAGCGCTTGCTCATATCAGCGGGATATCGATCCCGGCGCTAATAGATGGAGCTGACTCCTCCCTTCAGCCTTGTGATTGGCAGCCCATAGTCACAAACAGCCAATAGCAAACAGTTTAAACAAGTGAAGAAAATTAACAGAAACTTAAGATGGTACTTAAGATATACAAATGTTATAGCAATGGTTTAATTGAAGTAGTTACATAGAATTGTTTGGCAGATGATAAACAAACGATAGTTCGTGTGTGGTACCATCTTTTATATTCTTATTAATAAACATTTATCTAGAGAAAGATTTTAATTTATACGGAAATTCGTGGAGAAATTTCATACAAAAACTGAGTATGGATTCTGAAGAAAATTCCCGTGCTGAGAGTATAACTGGAGAGATGCCGTCCTCTACCAAAGCTGTCCAGCTATCGTCCAAAGCCACGGCCTTCTCCATAGCCGCTATAATGGAGGGGGTGACCCCAAAATCTACTCCCGAAAACCCGCAGTCCAAAGAAAGTCTTCCCACCCTCGGTAAGTATCTAAATCATTAGTACTCTATTTTTTTTAAATTTGTATAGAATTTCACATAACATAATAATATGGTAAAAAGAATATTGTGAAAATGGGATTACAAAATTACTGCGTTTCTTTTCTGTTTTCTTTCTGGGGTTGGTTTCATTAATGTACTTGTTAATTATAATATTACACTTTTCTGTTTATCACTCATAAATCTATAATTGTGACTAGTGATAAAGCTAATTCTTAAAAAATTAAAAGGAAAATATGTACACACAATATCAATATTAAAGTATGCGATTTTCAAGCTATTTTTATTTCCTTGTAATTTCATTCTGATAAATATTTATTTTAAAAAATTTTTAGCAGTAATTTTTGCAAGTTATATATTAATTATTATTTTTTGTATAACTCAGATTGATCAAATCTTGGGATATTTAAGACCGTCATAAAATTAACCTAGTGTTTGAAAATAAAAAAAAATAATAATAAAATTTAGCAAGTAAAAAGGACAAAAAGTTTTCAAAATTGGTTCCATGATAAAAATCACAAAAATTAATTTTTTTTTAAAGATGAAAATCATATATTATAAACTGTAAAAATCTAATTTTTAGATTTGAGTGAGGTGCATTTCAGATGTTTGGTTTTTTTCGTCTGTTAGTATAATCTATTTACGAATTTACAAATTAGAAAAATATTTTATCCAACAATCTCAATCGATCGCTTCTACTGACTCGTGAAAATGCACCTTTTATCGTCAAATAATTAGGATAATATTCGGATAATACTTCATTTAGTCAGGTCACTGATTTAAAAGAAATAAAAACCAACAAAATAAATACTGTACACCAGTTGTAAATTTGGCGATTTTGAGCAATCTATTATCGGCATTTTATCGCTGATTAGTTAAATATATCAGATGGATATCACTTCTGCCGCTAATGATATAAGCGGTCCTTTGGAGGGGTAGCAGTGCGTATAAACGGTGCTGTTGACTAACTCTATGGAGGGCAAAACCTAGATTTAATTGAGAGATATCCCACCCTTATCTTTTAACGATAAGTGACATAAACTCAATATCTCACTGTCCTATCAAACACTTGGAATTGTTGAAGGCAGATTATCTCAAGAATTAATCTAATCAATTAAAATAAAGGACTTAGAATGTAAGAACAACGCATCTATAAAGAGACTTCATTTGCAACAGCTTAACAATGTTTTATAAATTTGCATGAGGTTTTTCAACAAAGCTTTAGCGTCAAAAATTGCACCTTATTCAGGTTAGCTCACCTTTATCGGACACCTGTCGGGTCCAATCAAGTCATGTGACTCTTCATTACTAATTAAGAAAATTTGGTTTTAAATATTTCACAGTGGTCGAGAGATGAGTATCAACAAAATCTAGTACCTACACGTTCTAGAATTTTTTTAAAAACTCATTTTATATATTAAACTTGATTTTCAATGATTTGATTTCAAAAATGATTTCTTCTCTCTTGAAAAATTAATTTAAGTCTACAGAAAAATCAGCTGAGTTTTAAAATAAATTTTGCACTAAAATGAATCATTTTTACTCTAAGTTTTACCATATTTATAGGAAAAATATGTTTTAAAGAAGTTGTCAATTAATTCTGTAACTTTAAGCATAATATTCATTGAAAATACTGAAATAAGATTACCAAAAAGAAATTAGAAAACGCAAAAATATTTTCAAAAAGTCATATAATTTTATATAAGAGATTATAATAAATAAGGTAAAATGAACTTTGATAATCGACCCTTTTAGACTTGAAATAAGATCATTTAAATGTTAGAATTTTGATTTAAAAAATAAACTAACATTGATAGTTATAGTGAAACATAATTTTCATGTTAAGTTGATAATAAATATTATTTCTTCGAATATTTTACGCAGAAAAATTTGTGGAGGAACATACCGATGCCACCCCTGATGTGAAGAAAGTTGAAGGAAAGAATGAGTTACATGTAGATAGTGACGAGGTATCTACGACAACATCTCCAGCCTGCAGCCGCGAATTGGCGGGAGTGGAGTGTCGTCTGGAAACCAAGGATTTATGGGACAAATTCCACGAGCTAGGAACGGAGATGATCATCACAAAAACCGGGAGGTTAGTAGAAGGCATATAGTACCCCAGATGCGCGTGACGTGTTACCAACGCAACTGTGCGTGAAAAGAGCAAACCACGTGCGCAAACACAATGCTGGCAAATGACACGCCATTTGTTTGTAGTATTATCTATACTATTAATCATTATCGAAATTAAATTTACTGATAATATTCGCTCGGCGTGAAATCGCAAAAACAGAATTCAGACTTTATTCAAACCCCTGTAGAAATTTATCGCCTGTTTAAATTTGATTAACACACCATACCGGTGAAAATATGCGCAACGATAGTTCAATAATCAGAAATAATAAGAAAATGCTTCAGTGTTTCACACTATAATTATCAAAGTGGCGAAGTTGATACAAGTGCCTATTTGGGCAAGGGATGTCAGCGATCGGCTAGTTTACGACTTCACGGCCGCTTAGTGGCCACATCTTTCGTGCTGAGGAATACTAACTCTTAGTTAAACATGTAAAATTGCTGGTTTGAATATCCACCCAGCGATAAAAAACACGATGTTCGCATTGGCAATTATTTACGCCTCTTCTATCCTCTATATTTTGGTTTTGGTCAAGTTCTCTTTGGTATATTTCATATGTCCAAAATTATTACTTGTTTGGACATTTGGGGTTTTGAAAAGTAACATTCGTAAATGGAATGGAATTCAATTCAAAAGTTGAAAGTGGCAAACTAAACCCATGTTTGGTTCTGTCAGCGATCCTTTATTTGACGACAGGTAATTTACACGATCACGCGCTCTGACAAAAGTTGGTCTATTAATGTCCGTTTCAACATTTCCGCTCGTCAACAAAACTTCGATGTCCATTATTCCGGGTACTTTCTTTGATATATTTCCACATTATCAAACGTTGTGGTGACTCTTAGACGAGGTCTTTCTGGCGCTCTGTGGGGTGGAGTGTCCCCTTTTCCCCGGTTGATAAAGAGACAATGGTAATATTTACCGGACTGGCGATTTGCTATCTTGTCTAATGACATGTTTCTTTCTTCCGATGTTTTCACTAACAATTAAGCGTAAATGAATTTTGTAATAACACTATTCAATACTAGAGAGTGATGGCGCTGTCCAAACAGTGCCCCGAGCAGCAACATTTAAGCTAGCAAAATGATAGGCTTCAGAGGCAAAGAACGGCTATTTAAAAGGTGATAAATAGAACCTAGTGGTATTAACGGCTTTAAGACATTTAATCTTTCTCAAATCAACTAATTTCTATCACTTGAAAATTATTCAATGCACACAATGGACGTTGACCATGAATCTTGGAGCTCTGTGTTTGATGGACTGAGAGCCCTCGCTTCCCGGGGCCTCGTCAGACACCAGTGTTTATGTATCTCTTCTTCGTGCAATGGTCTGTTATCAGCTTCAACATCGCAATCAATCTCAAACCAGTGAAATTAAATGACAAGAAAAAATGCTGATTAGATATCTGTTTATTATCCGTCTGACACCATTTTAATGCTTATTAGTCGAGTGTTTACGGAAATTATCCCGTTTTTGTTGAGAAAAATAAAGGAAGTGATTTATAGTTTTATCTTTTTTTAATTATGCATTGATATGAGTTGTTTTAAAATTAAAAATGCCTTATAAAAATATTCTGAATTATTTAGGTACACTAAAATTGATAAACTAACGATTAATTCATTCATAAAGAAACCAAAGTAAATCGTACATTATTTTTATTTTATTTAGTTTTTATCTTTACTTATTTTATCATTAAAATTTTTAGAAGTTGCAATTAAAAATAAAACTAATTTTATTTCATTTCTAATTCTTTAAAGATGAATTTTTATTTTTATGTTTTAAAGGGTATTTAAAAAATGTTTTTCAAGATTCTTTTGAATTGATGATATCTTTTTCTTTTCTTCCTCCTTATATTTTTCTTTTTGTAATGCAACATTTAATGTAATTAATGCAGATCGTTGTAGTAACATTCATTTTGATTGCGAAGTTGTGATATTTTACAATGAAAGTTTACATACAAGGAAATATTATGTCCGGTTTTTATTGCTTTCAAGAACTTTAATATGTGTTTGCATGGACAAAGTTAAATCTAAGAATGAAATATGCATTAATTCACTTCCTGACTGGAATCTTTATGCAAATTGACATTTGATGATTTATTTAAAAAAAAAAACTCGTTAGATATATTGGTGTCATAGTTTTTTTGTCCACTTTTCACTTACCAGACACCGCTGTAAATTACCAAGCATAGATGAACTTTGTCTACAGTAATTGGTCTACACTCTATGACTCTCCCTACCCCTTCAACAGTCTGCACTCTACTAACCCCCACCTCTTGTGAGGGGCGGATCCACCACCCCATGGTGCCTCGTACCTCCCGCACTTTGTGATCTCAGGTTGTAAATGATTCGGTCATTTGACAACATAATCGTTGACAGCCTTGTTTTTTAAGGCTGACTTTAACAAAGTGTTCCTGTGTAAAGTCTCGTCATCACACTTTATCACCATAAGAAGCGATCGATGCCAACAATGGCCTAAGATTTTTCTATTTGTAAAGAAATGTGGCTGTGTTGACAAAAAAGCAACTGAAACTTCTCGTATTTTTTCTAAACCCACACACCGTGTAATACATTAGAACTGCTATTTCCATACACAAATGATCAGTCTAATATGCTTGTGTTACTGCTTATGAATTGATGTTCGAATTTTTTGTACATGTGCGGAGTTGAAAAACACGCTTTTTTGGGAAATTGATATTAAATTATGTAATAGACTTGATATCCATTAATTACAGGTTCGGTTTAAATTTAGTAATGCTTTTTTGCTGTTGTTTAATTATCTTGGGCACATTTTACATATGGTTCGAAAAAAAATGAGATAAATTTGCAGCACAGAAAATGTCCATGATAAAAACATGCAATTTAAACAGTTTTTAAACATACATTTGCCTGGTCATGCCATTGGCAAGAATTGTTACGTAAATCAAGTTTAGGATGAGATACAAGTCATCGTTTATCGTACAGCACTTCGGCTTGCCAAGCTGCCGAACACGTGGTTAACATCGAGGTGCTTTATGAGCCTTAGATTCTACGCGGCTCATAGAAAGCCTGTAAACCAACAAAATGTGAAATTGGACCGGTGTCAATACAGTGTCTAAATAAACATGAAGTTGGATACAAGAGATTGTTACAAATTCCCCAAAGTGTCAGGCCGCTAAACACAAGAAGCACTTTGCATGTGGTGCGGCTCTGTCCAATGACAAGCGAGAAATGACAGTTTAATTTGTTTTTTATTTGAGAAAAGTTAAGAGGGTGATATCTTAGTTTACAATGTGAAAATAAGTAAGAGAGGATGGCAGAGTTTATATGAAATATGATTACTGAATTATTACGCCTCGGCAAACAGTGAAATTTATGTGCTTTGCACATGGTAGGAAACACAGGAAGTTCGATGTCATATAAATTTCATCGCTTAGTTCTGCTCCGTTTAGTGTGCTCGAATGAGTTATTTGTAATCACATAATTTGCCCCATTGAAAGTGGCCACAAATTATTATAAACATTTAGTACTCCAAGTACACGTAATGTTTAAATTTGTATTCAGTTTTCCTTTCACATTTTCATATACAGTTTAAGAGAAAATAAAATGAGGTTTTGATCACTCGTTTATTACGCTTGCTCTTCAAGAATTTGAAATTTGAGTATGTTATACAAAATTGATTTTAAAAATGTACAATTCTTTTTTCTGTATCTTTTTAAGGCGTATGTTTCCTACTTTCCGTGTTTCGTTTACCGGGATTGATCCAGAATGGCGGTATATGGTTCTAATGGATATAGTTCCGGTTGACAACAAACGATATCGCTACGCCTATCATCGCTCTTCCTGGCTAGTGGCGGGAAAAGCAGATCCTCCCCTCCCGACCCGCCTCTACATGCACCCAGACTCACCTTTCACCGGAGAGCAACTTCAGAAACAAACTGTGTCTTTCGAGAAACTGAAACTCACGAACAACATGCTGGACAAAAATGGCCATGTATGTTATGTTCTGTACATGTTTAACTTAAAAATAGCAATAAAGTTTTCTTTTTCAAAACTCGTACTTTTAGTGCAATTTCAATGTTTTTACTTAAAATTCATTTTTTTCCAGATTATTTTGAATTCTATGCATAAATATCAACCACGGATTCACATTGTAAAGAAGAAGGAGTCTTCCGGAAATCAACCTATTTCAAGTTTAGATGCCGAGGAATTTAAAACATTTATATTTCCAGAGTCAGTTTTCATTGCAGTAACAGCATATCAAAACCAACTGGTGAGTTAAAGTTCTTTAAAATACATTGTCTTTACCCCTTCTCTCTATATTGCTGGAAGAAATGTCCGCAAAAAAGTCCATTATTTACTTCCTTTTTTCTTTCCTTTAAGATTACAAAACTTAAAATAGACAGTAACCCCTTTGCCAAGGGCTTCAGAGATTCTACAAGACTGACAGAGTTTGAAAGGTAGGTTTTAATACAGCAGTGATATTTTCATTGTCCCGGATTTTCTTCATCAGTGTAGAAAAAGAATCTTCTCTACTGCTCCTCTAATCTGAAGTAATTATAAATTACATTAATTATGAATTTTAAGTAATCTTGATTTTGATAAAGTTTAATTTTTTACATTTATTTCTGTATCTTTTTAGTTCTGCGATGGGGGCGGAATATTCCTATCCATTGATGTACAGGGAAGGTATGGAATCTCTCATGCAGCATCACGCCTACACGCGCTCCCCCTTACGGACCTACACGGAAACCGACCTCGAGGAAACTCTGAAGCAACACCGAGAATTTATGTCAAAAGGTAAACTTTCTTTTTCCTGTCTAAAATTAAAATCTACTTAACTACTGTCAAATTTTCCAAGACTTACGGGGTGTAATCATAGTGTACACGTTTGTCGGGTATCGGTTGTCTCAACTGATACTCGTTAACCACGAACCAAACCGAGGTTGACAGCTGAAGGGGACCTTCTTTCACACTCTGAATTCACAAATCTTTCTTCTTGATGAATTCATACTTCTCGATTGCGTGATGTAATTAATTTACGATATTCTGTTTTGCTTTACCGGATATACAAGAGAAACCGGAACTGTAATTGATAAATAATAAAATCAACAAGCGCCAATGTTTCAGTGATATTCAACTCCTGGGAAAAGGGTCCAATGTACTACAATATCAAAGGTGCACTGTAGCACACATGTCACTGCTAAACTCGCCCCAGAGTTTCTATATCGGCATCTGATATGCCATGATTCATAATAAGCAGAAGAAACGCAAAGTAGTCTGCAAAGAAGCGTTTTTGCTGTCGGTGGTCTGCAATATCCCAGCAAACTCGAATTACCATGAGAGCAACACGGAGAGGTGTCAAACGCACCGATTAATTGCCTGAATAGTTAGATATAAATGGTTTTAGAAATCACTGACTCGTTTCACGTAAGGCAACGTGCGTGTCTGTTGTACATAAATACCACATCCCGTAACGGATGCGTCTAACAACACCCGTTCTTCTCCGCCATGCATTAAAGCTGTGTGGTCTAGGCACATATAAGCACCAATCTTGATAATGTTTCATCGAGAGTAATAATCTGTGTTCATTTTCTGTTATTTATCTTGTCTGTTTACCGGGTTAATGACGTGTTTTCCGTTTTTATTGCAGAAGAGAGCGGAAACCTTGAGAAGTCTGGTATGGTTCCTCCGTGGCCAGTCTGGCGCCCTATCCCATCTACCTTTTCGCCCTCATATATGCCAAACGATCGGTCGCTGTATACCTTGTATGGTGGACTCCTTGGCCTAAACACGAACTTCATGATTCCACCGATGGCCTTTCACTCATTTGTAAATGCTAACAACTTAAGGATCAGAGACAGCATCCCAACAACTTCCGCTTCCTTTTCAGACTCTGTTTACCCATCTACTTCCTCTTATCGGTATCACCCGTACCTCACACCCGACAAAATTGCAGCGGCCCAAAAGGCAGCCGAATCATCTGTTGCCGAGAGCTGCCGACACTGAAGCCAAATGTTGGATAAATATGGTTATGTCGAATCCACTGACTGAAATTAATACCGTTGTCTTTCATTTCAACTCAGCTACATGGATCTAGTCTTTTTAGTTGAAGACATAATAATAACATTGTTTAACCTGATTGGACAAAACAATTATAGGATTGGAGTTCATAATTTTTTCCCGATGCATTTTGAACCATCCTTAGAGCTCTACTTTCAATATTGGTTTGAAGAAAATCTTTTAAGAATTATAAACAAATTTTCTTCGATAGAAGAATTTGTTTTTATAAAGAAGATGATCATATTTTGTCGCAAGTGCATGCAACAGAAGGGAAACATTTTTGGACTATATATACATCATAAGTGAAAAGCTGAAACAGCCATATAATATAAATTAAGGTCACATGTCTTTATTTTTTTTTTGTTCTGAGCATGCGTTATCTTTTAAGATGTCATTTATATATTGTTTTCTCAGGTCAGTGATTGAGGAAATCTACAAGACTCTTGTTTACTCGTGTGACATAGTTGTTTTGTTGATTAGTGCTAATTCTATGTGCTTTAGAAGTTGTGATATGTTTTATCCTAAAGTATAACGTTTGTGATTGATTATTGCATTTTACTTAATACTATTAATAAACAAATGAGACACAACACAATTTTGAATGTTGTTTATTTCAAAGCACCACAATTAAGAACATGCAAAATATAATTGATCAATAGACTAGATGTAATGTTGATGATAAATAAAGACAACACATCTAATTTTTTTCTCATTGAAATGTGTTTTTGTTTTGATAAAGTGGATTCAGTCAACGTCTGTTTAGTTTATAAATAAATTACAAAATTGTTTAAAATGCTGTAGAAATTTATTTAAAAACTGCTTCTGATCTTGAAAAAGAAAAAAAGACAAGAATTTTGTTTAGGAAAAAGAAATACTTCACTATATTTATATGTTAACAATTAAATATAAAAATATTTATCCCTGAATCTATTTTGAAAGTTAAACCATGACCAAGGCAAGCAAAAATGTGAACATAGATTTGCTTACTTATTAATATTGTGAATTACAGTACTGTATATTAATCGATTTTCAGCCCCTGAAATGCAATTAAAACTTAAAAAAGTCTTGAAACTTAAATGAAATTTAAAAATAAACTCAACTTAAACATATTTTATCATTTTAATTCGCTTAAGTTAAAATTTTATTTCTTGGGTGAAAATCGATAAATATAATTCACAATATTATTAAGTTATAAACAGTAAAGACGTATCGATTTAAACAATAAATATACATTGATCTAAAAATTATCCAAAAATTACATTTTCTCAGTAGAACATTCAAGAAGATTTCAGTTAGTGGAATAAACTTATTCTATTATAATATTTCAACCACCATTTGCCAGATGTGTGTGTTGACGAAATTGAAATCTACCGAAACGAAACGAAACCTACCGAAACGAAACGAAATGGATGAAACGAAATCAAAAGGGCTCGAAACAAAACTTTTGTTGTATATTTTTACATCATATGAAATTTATATATATGGTCGGAAGGATATTAAAAGGGGGGGGGGGGGTTAACCAACAAAAATATGCCTATATTATCTTTGCGTCTTATCATTTTACATACTAGTATAAAAAAGTGTAAGTTAAACTCCTTATTTTTTCACATATTTTGAATTGTATTTAATTAAAGGCAACTTCTTTTGTTCAAAAGATTCATTGCTTTAAGTTTTATCGACTTATATTGATTTTCATTGATATATCTAGATAAATATTATAAGGACTGAAAATAAGAGAGAAGAAAACCCATATTGAAATTTTCTGGTAAACATGTAAATACATCATTAGACTGAGAAGGGAAAATATCAATAATTTAAATTTTATATATTCATATCGATATAGCTAAATATTTATTTTTCATTTCGACAATACCATATTGATATGATTAAATATTTTGTTTCATATTAATTGTAATAATATCAAATATTTTGAAAAATTAAAATAATATTTAAGTTTTATCGACTTAAACATTAATTGACAGATATAATGCAATAAACATATATTTATATGTATTAAACAGTACTATAAAAATGTTGCCTTTAATATAATATGTCTATAAAAAACATTTTAATTGCCTTTAAATTCAAAATATGTAAAACATTTTATAAATAATATGTTTATAAATAATATGTTGATAAGATGATAAAATATACGACTATCTCTACAAAGATATACATGTAACACAACAAGTACAGAGCCCTTTACTCACTAATTGAAATCTAAACATGTCATCCTAATATCTGACAAATCAACAATACATACTAATAATATTCTGACAAGTTTAAAACATAAATGTCTAACTTTTAGACATAATATTTCTGACAATTTTACGTAAATACCTAACAAATCGATATACATGTACTAGTATTTGTATGTGCTGACTGGTAAGATGTTATGTGTACTTATCAGAAAATTATGCCTGATGACTTGTTAGATGCTATTTCGAATTGTCAGATAATTATTTCAACTTTTCAGATATTTATATCCAAATTTGCCACATAATTATGATTACTTGAAAGAAAGGGATGTTTTAAAACTTGTAGTATGGTTAGTGTTGAGTTGTCATGCAGTTCTTCGTGTCAACTTGTCAGTTTATCAGAAAAATATGTTGTCAGCTGAGGCACGGAATGTGTACAGAGACGTTATTACGTCTATCCTTTTAAACACAGTCAAAAAATATATGGTAAATCAAAATATATCTGTCATACTGACATAAATTTTCTACAAGTCGACATAAACATCTGAGAAATAGATACATATATACAACTGATAAGTGGTAGCAGAACATGGCCACTATTCTGAGAAATAGATACAGATGTAGAACTGATAAGTGGAAGCAGAAAATGGCCACCATATTAAACATCAATATAAACAAATGTGAAGAAAACAAAGAGTGATTAATCTAAATAAATACACAATCAACACAAATAAGATGAATGGATAACAGAACACGATCCTGAAAATTCCAGCAAGGGATAATGTGTTTCGAAGAAGCAAGCATCCCCTGTTGACAGGTCACACCCACCTTGTGTCATTTGTATTTATCTGGTAAACAAAAAATTACGGGAAAGGAAAATTTCAGAATTCAATTTTTATTGACAAAACACTTCACTGTAATACTTAAAGGCCTAGAAATTTTCATTAATGGCTGTATAAAGTGTGGAAAATTCATCATTAAACGTTTTCATGTTGCTGACATTGGGAAAAATGCATTTTTAAAAAAAAAATTCTATAAGTTCTTTGAAGTTTTTGAAAATCCACATTTGATTATTACCATTTCTTCAATAGCAACAGAGTTCTTCTGAAGTTTTTTTCCTTTACAGTAGTTATTATTTTAGTGAGGAGTAAAGACAGGGGCTTGTAGAGCATAGCACATGTATATGTTGTCGGTGCCAGTAAATGCTCTTGCAGGACCCTGCTATACATGTATATTATGATCGCAAGCACTTTAACGAAAAACTTTAGATTTTAAACCAATATCTGACCGAAAGTTTCAAAATATGTCCCCATACATGATGGTTATAATTTCTTTTTAATTTCTATTTTATTATTTGTTGAAAGCGAAACACCCTTTTTTATTACTCATGCTTCTACCCTGAACCAATAAAATTTGCTCCCCCGATTTAAGATAATTTTTTTATGTTTAAGTTATATTCTAATTAACCAAAACATTATTAAAAGAAACCTTATTTTGATTGAATTCGGCGGGTGTGATCGTCAGTAGGAGATTCTTACTCTTCCATGGCACCTCATCCCTCCTCAGTTTTCAGAGGTCCTTGATGGCTCTGCTCACAACTTGTTTAAATAAATTTTTGAGAAGGATTTTTTTTCTTTATCTTCACATTTGACAAGGAAGAGAAAGGTTTTGATTTTTTTAAATTGATATTGATATCCTTTTAAAAATAAAATTTATATCAATCATCTTTTTTTCAACTCTCCTAAATTATGAACATGAAAATTGTTATGAATATAAAATTTAATTGTGTATGTTTATTTTATTCTTGAATTTTTTTTCTATGAAAAGTTATTTTTTACTCCCTAACCCTTTCCCTAACCTATTATCTTATTTTTTTTTCATTTCACAGAAATCTTTTTAAGACGTTTAATTTTGTTTTTATAGTTAGATTTGAATTAGAAGTGGATTTGAGCAAAATTTACGCTTGATTTGTTTTTATTAAATTTATTAACATCCATGAATACAACTGTAACATTAACATAGGTCTTAGGCTGTTTGAAGTAGTAGATTTGTCACATTCTGAATTAGTTTGTTGACCACATTCTTATCATTGCTGTGAACTTTCGGACTGGGTGTGTATTTTTTATACCAGCTCAAGAAATGATAAAAAATACCTCTATATACATGTATAAAATTACCTCTTATTCATTGAAATATTTGACTTTTCTGAAGAATTATTCCTTACATATATTGCTCTGTTGTTGTTATTTTATTACACAATTGTTGTTTTTACTTTTTAAAAATTACATTTTTTTTTTTTGAATACATCATTTTATCGTTCATTTTGACATTTTGTGTATCGCTCAACAACAACAAAAAATAATAAGATAATCTTGTCCTTACAAGCAATGTAAGAGTTATTCATTTTTATATGCCACCTCAATAATTAAAGTTTTCACACAACTTTTCTAAGCAACACTTTAAAACATTTCATATTTAAATGAGACTATCATTTTGAACTCGTTGTAATTGTTGTAATTTTGACAAATTGCAGTAATGCTGTTACCTTTTTTACCTTAAAACTCTAAATTTTGCACCAAGTTCGTGTCTTTTTCGACGAAAAAAAAAACATTTTCAAAATGCCACTCAATAATATATTTTTTGGCAAGTCTTTGTAAATTTGCTAATAGCGGACCAACATTGCCTCAGAGTTCTGGTAACCAAATGTTTTCCTTTTTGGAATTTTTGATTAGCTTAAAAGAGATATTTTGTGACGGTCATCGTTTATTTTAAATCTTAAAAAAGAACACAAAACAAATTTCTAACACGCAAAACTTATACAAAGATGCTAACGAGAGCAAAAAGTTTTCAGATCTGAAAATAAAAGTGTTTTACTTCGTTTTCCACGCCTGCTTATTATCAAATTCACTGAACAGAATTTGCAGATACCTTTTGTAATAAATCATTTTCACCCCTTTTTCAAATAATTTAAATGTTTGGAACAATGACTTGTTTTTCCCGAGACACCTGCGCATTTATACAGTGATAGTTCACGTTAATGCCGAGCAGTTCCGCATGTGTAGCATTTCATGTCTCTGCCTAGACTCCCCCTGTCGACCCACGTGGATACTGGAGGGGTTAACACGAGTCTGGATGTGTCAGGATTTCCTTGCATTAACGGGTTAGCGAAAACCTTTTGCTCAATGACACCTCCCTGACAGCCAACAAACAAGCGTCTGGTGAATCAGATTGGGTAGTTTAACAGTCATTTCACTTATTTTACAAGAATTCTTGTGACTAAGTGGGTCCTGTTTTACTTACCGAATCTTCTGACATATTAAGTTCATGTACTCGAAATACATAAATAGCTTGTTTTCTTGACAGTTTTCAGAGCATTTATTGTACTTTTGCATTATTATGTCAACTAATTGGTGTCTCTTTCATACAGACATTAAAACCCTCTCAATAAAATATGGAAACAAT